GAGGATATACGTTTTCAAGACAAGAATTTTAAACTTGATGGTGTAATGAAGTAACAGTGTCTGTATAGGTGGCAAGGGACTTTAAGTTATGCTCTTTTTACAAAAACATATATTGTTTATTTCGACATTTTAATGAAAGATTATTTATTAAAATGGGAAATAACTCTTTCTTTGCAACATTAGCTAGTTATATAAACAAAAAATATATATTTTCAAACTGTCTATTATTATTTGAATGTATAACTATTTGCAATTCAAAGTACTACCCATGATGATTTTATGAATGTATAAGGAAGAAAAACATCTTTTCTGGGTTTTTTTCTAATAAGGACATATCAGAGCTAAATATGAGATTAAATCTTAAATATGAGCTAAAATCTAAGGTTACAGCTATATCATTAGGTGCGGATCTCAGGATTTGATGTTATGGGGGCGCTCCTTAGAATTAAGAGTTACAGGACCATATTTTTGAGGAGAAAAAAATTTTACCTATGAATTAGGATGAGCCCCCGTCTGAATCTGTGCCTAATCATAGCCTTTTTTAGACATAAACTATAGTTTTAGAGATTGTATAGGCTATATCATAGCTACTTTAGACTTACAGCTATATCATCAGGTGCAGATCCAGGATTTGATGTTATGGGGGCACTCCTTAGAACTAAGCGTTAGAGGACCATATTTTTGAGAGAGAAAAAAATTGGCTGTAATTTTACCTATGAATTAGGATGAGCCCCCGTCTGAATCTGTGCCTAATCATAGCCTTTTTTAGACATAAACTATAGTTTTAGAGATTGTATAGGCTACAGCTATTTCAAAGCATGTTTAGACACAAACTGTGGTTAAACATCAACTGAGTTTTATAGTTTATATGAATACTTCACAGATATTTGTTAGAGACATAAGAGTACAGGCAATTGTTACTGAATACTGTTAGAATTTTTTTCATAGTTCACATTGAATGTCAAAATACAGTAAGCACCCATTATTAGTCAATAACTATGTTTGCAGAAAGGTAATGAATATTGTATAACTGTGGAAAGTGATACCTTTCAACTTGCTTTGATGAATAAAAATGTGCTGAGTGCCTTTTAGGGGGATTCCTGTGGTTTTATGATGCTAGTTTGTCATGTGATCTTGTCTCACACATTGTCCTTCAAAAGTCCATCTTTCATGGAATAAGTATTTTTAAAATTGAGAATGGAAATGCATAGAAATATGAAATATGAAATATGAAAAAGTAATGCAGGGACTAAATTTGGATGTTAGAAACTATGAAAGAAAATGTATGCAAGGACTATTGTAGGGGCATGAAAATAATCTGAAGTATTCATGTAACTGTTTCATGTAAACATATTGGTTTCATTGGTGCAAATTCAGCATTTTTAAGAATTTTTCACAACTCAATGACATACAATTGTATAAACACATTTCCAATTGAATGCTGTGCATGTTTTACTTGAACAGACTTACATATAGTATCGGCTAAAAGATAAACTTCTAGCTTCTAAGGCACCTCATTTATCTGTCAAAAACCTATTCTTCATGGATCATTCATTATTTTGAGAAAAAATGTTGTAAAAATTGGGAAATATGTCATTTCTTATATTACAATTTTGGTATAACTAATTCAAATTTTTCTAGCGGAAAATGAAATACATGAAACTTTCATTTATCATCTAAGATTTTTTAGATTGACTTGTCAATGAGAAGCTAAATACTTTTTAGTTTAAGGCACCAGACTTGTTAGTGTGAACCAATACCATCACTTTGCATCCATTCATTCTTCATTGTCAATCATTTGTGATACTGTTTCAAAACTATTATTCTCAGAGGATCTACTGTATTTTTTTTTTCATGACAGCCATGATTTAAGATGGGACTTGATGGTGAAAGACTGAATTTGACAATATAAACGTATTAGAAAAAAAGACTGATAAATCCAGTAAAGAAACAAATGCTACCAAATTTATGCCACTAATCCATTATCATCATCGTTAAGATGTACCTTGGATGATTTCTGTCAAATGTTTGTCATCATTGGCTGATTTTACAAAATTAGAAAAATCAGAACCTTGATTATGAATTTCTGCAAAATTGACCTTAAAAATAGATTTAAATGTGTTCCACAAAGATTCTGTTTTGTGAAAACATAATTATCAATAGGTACCGTAGCCAGGTAAATGATGTAGGGTCTTTGAAGCTCCTAGTATATGTATGGCCAATATAGATTTGTACATGCACATGTAACACTGTAGAATAGTACTAACTGTCTAATATTTACTTACACATTTATTTCAAGCGACACTTGCGTAGATTGGAGTTTTTACTGGTAAGATACTTCTTAAATATTAATTTAATTTTCTTGTTTCAAGATTTCTTGTATTTCATTTTATACAGCATCATTTTTCACAATTAATAATTAAACATTACCACTGTCCAGGTTTGCAATTTGTTTCCTTCATATACATGTACCATCACAATAAATCTAAAATTAGTACTTCGCAGAATACAGTCAAACCAGCTATAATAGTCACCTTTATTTAACCAAACCATATCTTTCCAGGTCACCCTCTTCTCATCTCTTTGTAATATTATAATAAATAACTATCCATTTTAAACCTCAATTTAAAGGTCATCTCTTTCATAAGGTAAGTTTTCTCCGATTCGGAGGGTGACCTAGATATATTCAAGTTTGACTGTATATTGAATATTACACAATCATATACTGTTATTTAAGTTGCTAGGTAGAACTGAACATTACTAAATTATGTTGCTACTTATCTAACTTAACATATTGGTCTTTTTAGCAATAATATGGTCTATTTCAGCACAGATGCCTAATATTTTGTCAAGAGAATAATGCTTTTCAATTAAATTCCTGAACTGCAACTTATTTTGTGCTGATATCATAAATTTTGAAAGCTTTTCATTAAACAAACAATATCAGATTTTTTGTCTATATAGATATATTTGTAATCTAGATGATAATTTTCATAAATGGTTAGCAGCTAAGTTTTGTAGCAAATTTTCTTAAATTTAATTCAATACAAGTTATTTTGTTTGTTTTAATTGCTTTTGATTAAAATATTTTGGCTTTCCAATTTTTTGCATTTTAAACTTTCTCCCATTACATGTAAATGACATTAATAACATAGCACCCCTCAGTTAAACCTACATTTTCTTCCACAACTTATCACATTTTTCACTGTTGACACAATAAATGGATTATCTGCACAATTGAAAGACATGTAATATTTATATCTGTACATTGTATAAATATTTGGCAGTATTGCACATTACAGTGCATGTCTTCAATTTCATCAATGATTTTATCATCTAGTCAGTATCACACAGTTGTGGTATGAGGTTGGTGTTCAGGATACAATATGAAATAAAATATGCTGGAAAAATCCTCAATATGAATTTGGTAATACAAGAACTTTGCTAAAAAATCTAATGGACCACACCAGTAGCAAGGAGGGTTGGATCCCTTGGAAACAAAATATACTATTGAATACTATTAAAGCCAAGATTCAGACTCAAGTTTAACATTAAAGACCCCGAATAATTCCCCTCAGAGACATCCTGGATATAGACTTGTGGACTATTATAGGCCATTTTGTCTAGCAGTAATATTATGAACTTCCAATAAATTATAATAGATTCTTTTCTTTTTCTAGCATATTTCTTCAGAAATTTGAAGGTTGTTGTAAACCATAATAGAACTTTTCATTAGGCGTAATAAGAAAAACCAAAAAAGAACCATTAAGTTAATCTTTTCATCTAACAACTTATCTTCTTAAGTTTTAATAATATAAAATAAGGGAATGATCAGTTTCGTATAGGATTCTACCGATCCCAATTTAAATCTTTTGTTCAGGTCTTATCAATACTGGATATTTGTGGTGAAATTTTCTGCACTCCGTTTAAAAAAAGGGTATCCTTAATTTGTTTGGGTTCCTTTTGACGGTTGACCGAGTCTGTGTAAATACCCAGACGAATAGGTTATCTGACAAACTCGTGGTTTTTAACATAGTCGTTAGCAAATATGACGATTTTTACACTATTAAAGGTAACAGGTGTATCTAACAGTGAGGACATTACTTTTACGGGACAATAAATTAACGGACAATTTCAAGCAACACTTGATTATTTCACTGCTGGGCTACCTAAGGTCGCTGACAGCTTTTATAAACGCAGGTAAAGTTTCTTTTTGTTATGAGGTATTAAATAAATTATTTATATGAGGTCAAAACAGATTAAGCTGTAATTATATATATTGATATCTTTATATAAATACATGTAAATTTAATTTGATATCTATTTTATCAAATAAATAGTCAAGTTCAGATTTGAAGAAAAAGGATGAAAGACTTAAAATCATCTAGGGTAGAGTTTCAGTATTTTTTTCATTGTGAAATTAAATGAATTGTCACGTTCAAATGACAATGTAATTTTGTACGCCCACACCAATTAATAATTTCATATTTTTATTACAACTTTTTAATGTTTTTATTGAAGACATTGAAGTCTATTTTATCTTTTACATTTAAGTGTTCTGCCTGAAGGAAAAGACTTATTTCTCTTCATATCAAACAGGTAGAACAAATATATATTATTTTACTTCCTTTATTTATGAAACCTTTAAAAAAATGTTAACATGTCCTAGTTTGTTTTGATAATATTTGAAAGATGATTTGTGTAAAAGTTAATACCAATAGTGAACCCCCAGTTTATTTGCTTGCTATCAGTCATTGTCAACATGGCCAGCGGAAGTACCTGGCCAAGGTAAATACAATGAGCGAATGTAATTAATTATGTTATTGTGTCTTTACGTAATGGATTTATGTTGTGTGAATTCTTATAAACAATAGGATTCACAAGTATGGGTAGGTTTTTTTTTCTTCAACTAAATATGATTTTATTGCTTAGAATATGTTTTTTTGGCTACTTTTGTCATAGTTCTATTGAAGTATTTTAAAATTTTTGTAATGCTTTAAACAAAATATTAATGATTTAGAACAAAAAACTAGTCACATGATTATTACGTTTACAAAGAAAACAAAACATGAAAATTTAGAAGAAGGATTTGAAAAATAGGATTCAGTAACATTGCTCAAACTTGTTAATCGACCTCCATCTTGGTCCTTACATCTCTAACATCTTAATAAGACAACTTGTCAAAAGTTTTAAATGATTGATTCATGTTTGATATGCTGTATATATTAACCTCTTTTCCTGGAAAAAGTAAATAGATAGTTGCTGCTTTATGTCTCATTTAAAGCCTTAAGTTGATCTGCTTTGACAAGAATGATCAAGAATGTCTCTTAACAAGACGTTTGACAGGAAGATTTTTGGGGGGTTTTGTTTGATTTGATAACTATTTGCCATGCAATGTAGATTTTTTTCTGCCATTTATAAAAAGTTTACTCCATTAAAAAATCCCTTGTAAAATAGAAAATAAAAGAAAGAGTTAAAATTTCTCTTCAATATTGATTGATGCGGACCTGTGCTTGTTAAAATAAATCAGTTTTTTCAGTTTTATGATAATCTATGAAACTTGTCGTTAAATATTGGATTGATTGAAAATTACTAAGAATGTATCTGTAAAATAGTTTTGGGAAACTTATTCTTAGTACCAGCAATGAATTAGTACCAAATGATTTAGAGCTTTCTATATGATGTGGATACCTGTCTTTCATTGGTGACATGATGGTTACCTCTAGATATATACTGTGGATTCATTTATTTTCGTTGATACCAATTTTCGTGGATGGAGGAAAATCGTTTATTTGTGGATATTTGATTTTGTGGATTTACCAAACTCTATGTAATAGCTTATAGAAAATTTAAACATTATTCAAGCTTTGAATTCGTGGTTAACCTTTGACCATGAAATCCCGGAAAATTGGTACCTCGTGAATAATAAAGAATCTACAGTATTTTCAATGAGTTGTTGGATTTTTTTCTGATTGACTGAGAGCGTGAGTTCAAACCCAACTTGAGACAGGTTTATTTGACTCTGATCTTAGTAGTCTATAATTGACAGTTTTCCTGTCAAAGGGCGTGTTTTTTTTCCGGGTACTCTGCTTCCTCCACCAATAAAAAATTGCTGCTGTGATATAGCCTAGAGTGATGAAATTGATCAATCATCATCTTATTGACAGCAGACACCATCCAGTTGAAAGAGGCAGAACAAATCATATCGCATTAGAATTAAGGAATAATAATTCAATATTTAATCATGTTCACTTTTCTTCCATATTTTACATAATTTTCTTTTCATTGTTTAGCATACAAAAATTAAAAAAATCACCTTGCTTCTCCTAAAATTTGTCAAAAGTTGTGTTAAATTTGGTTGTAAGAATTATTTTTGTATGAAATGAACACCTGTGCTGTTGCTTTGACTTAGGCTCTCTATTTAGTCTTTTCAATTTTTCCATGTGAATAGTTATTATCAGTGTCCACTTTTCACACATCAACATCAAAATGACCAGGGGTTAAGGTGGTTGATTTATTTCAAGGTATAAAGGTCACTGTGGCTTTGTCCACAGGCACTTTTTTCATCTATCAAGTCTTATGTACAGATATCTTAGCTTTTTTGTCAGGCTTGATTTTCAGATTTTTGTCAGTTAAATGAACTAAGTCTAAAACATTTGAAGCAATGACTGTGCTGTACGTTGTACCCATCTTTTAAAACCCCTTCTAAGGAGGAACAGTTCTAAAGAGAATAAAGTTTTATTTTTCATTGTATCAATATTTTTTAAATCAAACCCTCACCAAAAAGAAATTCTTTTACAAAATCACAAGTTCTGTGTTGGAAGTTGGAGGGCAAAATGAGAATGGGTTGTACTATAGTGGTAAAATAACTTAATTTAGGATTATGATTTAAAAAATATTGCGTACAATAGTTTTGCTTTAATCATCATGATCCAACACGACATATAAGGATCTAAATGTTGTCCAAACTCATTACAGTAACTCTTGAGGAAATTTGTACTTCTAAATTTATATAAGTTGTTGAACCTTACGTGATTACGACCATTAAACTACATAATCATTTGTTCATGATGCATACATAAAATCTATTGGTTTCATAAATAGGTAGGTCCTTTTATCTGACGAATAATACAAAACTGATCATTTTCATCCTTTAGGATACAAAATTTAAATCATTGATTCTGAATCATGTAGTATCAATACCACTCAAAATTAAAACACAATCGGTACTTGGCGACCTTCACTCGTCAGTCTGTCTATCCCGAGGGAGACAGAATATTTCTGTGGTTGTACACAATATTTTATTGGATTAATATAGGTGTGATGTTTTGACAGAAGGTGTATTATGTACTTAGTTACATGTTGGTATTACTATTTTACAGTTATAATAGTTTTTAACATCTATAAATTTTACATTTTATCTATATACTGTTTATTTATTTGAAATTTTATTACAGTATTTTTAGTACTTGCATACTTATATTTTATTCAGGATGCCATGTGATATAACTGTATTAATCAGGATGTTATATATGTAATGTCTACTTTTTCAAGCTTCCATTGCTAAAATGCTGATTCTAGATATTTTAAAATTTTATTGGTCAAATTGAATAGAAATTGAATGAGTGTCTAGTTCATCTTGAGTTTTATTGTGTTAATTTCAAGCAAAACCTGTACTTATAGTTTATGGTGCATGTACTTTCCCATTCAAGCAATTTAGTTCAAAAATGATCACTTCTGCTTTTTGCCTATTCAATTTGTTTAAGGTTAAAATGAAGAAACTGCATTGTTTATGAAGGAAATTTGTGATGAAGGTGGGTCATGATAGATTATCTATTGTAACAAAAGATTTATTTAATTTTTCAGATGCTGAATAATATAGCCAGTGACCTTGATCTGCTGCTGAATGACCTTTGCCATATATATCCATATCCTGTGACAGCAGAAAGAAAGTTTACAACATTTGGGTACGTTCAGATATCTATCATAGTACACATGTGAAGCAGTAGATTATTAGAAGGATGAAAGCATATATTGCCCTGTATACGCATGAAATATTTGTGTTAAGCAAACAACAATCAATCATGTATGAACTACGATCTATAGAACCAAGTTATACTAAATAGACATAATTTTTCCTCTCCTAGGTTTGTTGAGAAATGTAACTTCAGAATTGAAGATATATTAAACTGGATGTTTGATGTTCCATAATTTTCTCAAAGTGATATACTGTGGATTCATTATAATTCGTGGGATGTCAATTTTTGTGGAGTTCGTGGGTATAGGAGATCCACAAATTTAAATGTCCAATGAAGTTCAAATTTGATATAAAGGATTGTACACATAAACGCCAAACTCACGAAATGTAATATCCACGAAAATGTAATTGATCCTCAAACTACAAAAATTAGTACCTACGAAATAAATGAATCCGCATTACCAGAATACTTCATATTTAGTACTAGTATACCTTTTTATTTTGAACAATAGAGAATTAAAAAAACTTATGTTCTATCAATTTTGCAGATTAAAATTTCTCGACATATTCCCAAAAGACATTTAGAAGGTTTAAAAAACTAAACATTCTAAAATATTTTAGTTTATTTGATGAACTAGTTAAAATTGTCTTTTCCTTCTAGATCTTTTGTAGTGAGTCAACAGGCAAATTTGGATATTTTTCCATCTGCTACAATGTCCCTGTACATATTCTCATGTTGTTTCATGTCTTGTGTATGATTAGGATAAGTAAAATAAATACTTTTTATTTTAAGTAATTCCTATTCAAATTAGTCCAACCTATATTAAGAGCTTATTTTGGTGGATCAAAACTTACTTACAACATAGGTCACCCTTAAATTCATAATTAAAATTTAAAATACTATATCAAATAAATTGAAACTTGGTCTTCAAAAAGTGACTTGTTCCAAATCAACTGCAAGGTGCGGATATAGGATTTTGAAAAGGGGGAGGGGGCTAGTAATCCAATGTTTGGAGTGGTACTTGTAAAAAGTCATATTATATATGTAGCTCCATAAGGCATCTTTTTAGTATTAGTTTTGAAAGTCAGGTTTAACTTCATGTAATTTTTAGCTATAAAATGATCATTTTCAGATTCGTAAGTGTTTTATCCAGTTTATTTTATGTCACGAATTTCATGTTTTATTTAGAATTTAAAGAGGACATAATTGTCAGACATTTAACGAGTCTATGAATAGTATTATTGAAAAAAATCAAGCACCTTTTTTCACTGTTTGACAAAAAACAATTATAAAACTTTGTACAAAAATTTTGCCAGAATTGTAACAAAATTAAAATTACGCTTGTGAATGTTACTTATGCATTACTTGTTTTAGTCATTCTTAGGTGTCATTTTTAGCAAATTAAGATAGTTATGACAATACAAATAACCCTAATAGGATGGTTTAGGTTTAAATTTTATGAATGGAATATTTTTGTCATGACTTATCTGAACGTCTATCGCTTGTCTACCTATAAACAAAAGAAATGTCTAAAAGGAATGGAGTATTTAGGCTGTAAATGGGTTAACCATTATCTGTAGTTTCGATATGATTAAATTTATGTAAAGTATTTTTATACCTTATTCAAGCAGTTTTTATTTATTTAATATAGGTCAAACTCGGAGAGACAATCTTTTTATTTGATGTAATTGAAAATAAAGTAACAAAATGGGACGGAAAATTTAATTCATTATATTCTAAAATTGCACTTGCATGTGATCTACATGAGGAAATAAACTGTGTTTAATAATATTTTGAAAACATTATTGTTATACATGTAATATATATATATATATGCCTGCTTGGAAATATTCAAAAAGAAAATCTCAGTTTCTTGACTTTTTCTTTAAATGAAAAAGCCTTTAGGCAGTATGATATTATTTAAAAGATTGATGATATAGATGTGAATATGATAATGAATAAAATGAATTGAATACTGTAGATTCAGAAATTATTGCGAGGTTTTTATTAATGCGAATAATGCGACTAGGTGAATATCGCAACAATAAGAACTCGAATTCTTATATCTATTACATATATCTGTATGCAGATTTTCCTGATATCGCAATGATTAATTTCGCATTTTTGTCCATTCTTCAAAAATCGCAATAATAGATAAACAATAATTTCTGAATTTACAGTACAAATGTATTGTTATAATTTTTCTTGAAAACCAACTAACAATATGCAGTTTATTTATAAGAATTCCCTTGATTTCTGGTACTGTAGATTCATTAGTATTCGTGGCATACCAATTTTCAGGGATTTCATGGGTAAAGGTGAACCACAAATTTGAATGTTCAACAAAGTACACAATTTCTGTTTGCTTGTATGCAGACTTTGATCCACAAAAATTGATATCCACAAAAAATGACTGAATCCACAGTTATAAATAGGGACATACATTGTGATAGTTGTACCGTTGAAGTAATAGCAAGTTCAATATCATTCTTGATTTAAAAAAAAAATTAATATGAATTTTATAAAAACTTGGATTTTATTATGATATAATAGAGTATGATTTACTACTTTAACAAATGCTGTGTTCTCTAAAGAACAATTTTATGGGTTATTTGTATGACTTAGTTTTATGGCCTATTTGTTATAAAGTGTAAGACCAAGTAATGGAAGTATAATCTTTTCAGTATTAAAAACAAAATTTAGTTGATGATTTTATCTTGCTAGGTTGAGTACTACTTTTGCTTAATTTCACTTTATTAAGCCAAAGAAAACACAAAATACATGTTTTTTTTTCGCAAGTACCAGTACTTGAAACATCTTTTAAAACCTGCTTAGATTTGGTTTTGAAGTTTTGCTGTACCTGTAGAAAACTTTATACAAACGGGATAGCACATCTTAATATTTATGGAGATGTTGTTTACCGAGCCCAGAAATTTAGATATCAATAGATATGATCCGAGTAAACTTATCAATCCTTTAAATAAACTTATTCTAAAAGGTTACCAATTCAACACTGTAATAAGATCTTCAAATGTTGTTTTTATTGGTATAAATATGGATTTTGTTATCAGTAAATTAAAATCAAACTAAATATTATTTTTATATGCATATGCACATTCATGGCTCTACAATCTGTCAATACCTGTATATTGGCATTGCACAAGGTCATGTTTTTCTCTTGACTGTTAATGACATCTTTACACTAAATCCATTGGATGTTGGATGTGTACTGATTGATATTTTAGTCTTAGATGCATGATTTCTTTATTAGTTGTAATTAGCTTTGAAATAGCTGTTAGCAACTGTGACCACTCTCAGATCTGTACTTAAATGTCTTTTTTGTTGTGGGGATATATAAATACCCTGCTGCGTCAGGTCTGTGTTTTTGTAAGATGTTTTTCTGGTTTATATCCATCTGATGAGTTAAACTCTTTTCAGCTGATTTTTATAGGTTGTTCTTATGTTGTTCTGTTAGGTTACACCACTGTCCTAGGTTAGAGGGAGTGTTTGGCGCCAAAAAACTAGTTTAATCCAGCCACATTCTGTATGTGCCTATCCCAAGTCAGGAGCCTGTAATTCAGTGGTTTTCGTTTATTGCTGTATATCATATTTGTATTTCGTTCATTGTTTTGTACATAAATCAGGCCATTATTTTTCTCGTGTGAATTGTTTTTCGTTTTTAATTTAGGGGCCTTTTATAGCTGACTATGCGGTATGAGTTTTGCTCATTGTTGAAGGCCGTACAGTGACCTACAGTTGTAAACTTCTATGTCATTTGTTCTCTGGTGGAGAGTTGTCTCATTGGCAATCATACCACAACTTCTTATTTTTGTCGAGCCTTCGACTTTTGTCGAAAAAGCGAGACATAGCGATCCTACATTCCGTCGGCGTCGTCGTCGTTGTCGTCGGCGGCGTCCACAAATATTCACTGTGGTTAAAGTTTTTGAAATTTTAACAACTTTCTTAAACTATCCTGGATTTCTACCAAACTTGGACAGAAGCTTGTTTATGATCATAAGATAATATTCAAAAGTAAATTTTGTAAAAAAAAAATTCCATTTTTTCCGTATTTTACTTATAAATGGACTTAGTTTTTCTGCCAGGAAACATTACATTCACTCTGTGGTTAAAGTTTTTAAAATTTTAATAACTTTCTTAAACTATCCTGGATTTCTACCAAACTTGGAAAGAAGCTTGTTTATGATCATAAGATTGTATCCAGAAGTAAATTTTGTAAAAAAAAAATTCCATTTTTTCCGTATTTTACTTATAAATGGACTTAGTTTTTCTGCCAGTTAACATTACATTCACTCTGTGGTTAAAGTTTTTAAAATTTTAACAACTTTCTTAAACTATCCTGGATTTGTACCAAACTTGGACAGAAGCTTGTTTATGATTAAAAGCTAGTATCCAGAAGTAAATTTTGTAAAAAAAAAATTCCATTTTTTCCATATTTTACTTATAAATGGACTTAGTTTTTCTGCCAGTTAACATTACATTCACTCTGTGGTTAAAGTTTTTAAAATTTTAACAACTTTCTTAAACTATCCTGGATTTGTACCAAACTTAGACAGAAGCTTGTTTATGATCAAAAGCTAGTATCTAGAAGGAAATATTGTTCCATTTTTTCCGTATTTTACTTATAAATGGACTTAGTTTTTCTTCCAGTTAACATTACATACAGTCTGCAGTTTAAGTTTTTAAAACATTTATTAGATTCATAAACTATCCTGGATTTTTACCAAACTTGGACAGAAGCTACTTACAATCAAAATATAGTATAGAGAGGAATATTTTTATTAATTTTTTTCCTCATTTTTGCTGAGCCTGTGATTAACAGCAAAAAGTAGGCGAGACACTGGGTTCCGCGGAACCCTTACGAATTTTTATATTAATTAGTTGATGTAGCGGTTACGGAAGTTAATATTTGTTAGTTTGTTTTTTCTTTATAAAAAAAAACTGATCAAAGATACCATGCTTCTAATTTTGTATGCCAGACACACACATTTTGTCTATGACAGACTCATCAGTGACACTCAAATCAAAAATGTCAAAGGCCAAATAAAGTACAAAGTTTAAGAGCATTGAGGACCCAAAATTCCAAAAGGTTTTTTCAAATACAACTAAGGTAAAATATATTATCCATATTAAGAAGATTAATCATTATTGATGCCAGATTGAACTCTACTTAAATGTTTGGGGTGAGATGGAAATAAAAAAGAATGGTTATCACACATTATCAAATATTTGTTCTTTAAATTAGTTAGATAAGCTAAAAGCATATTTGAATGAGAAAATATGTATTATTTATTTACCTTTTTTGCTTTTAGTAAGGGACAGACATATACAGATAATAGTCCTGGCTTTGGTGAAGACAGTGCATTTGGAACTCTGGCCTCCACAGACAGCTATAACTGTGAACAAAAACCCAGGAGTGATTCTGTTCAGTCAGGTCATCTGGATGTCTTTAGTCTGGATCACTCACCCAAAGTAAGTACATGGAGTATACCTGAGCACAAACAGACACCAAAGAGTGAATCTGTTCAGTCAGGTCATCTGGATGTCTTTAATCTGGATCACTCACCAAAAGTAAGTACATGGAGTATACCTCAGCCAGAACAGACCAAGGATAGAATCTGTTCAGTCAGGTCATCTGGATGTCCTCAGCCTGGATCACTCACAGAAAGGGAAAACATGGAGGATACCTCAGCACAAACAGAAACCAAGGAGAGTCCGTTCAGTCAGGTCATCTGAATGTCTTTAGCCTGGATCACACAAGGTAGTACAAGGAAGATGCATTTAGCACATTCAGAAACTAAGGAGATATTCTGTTCATGATGGTCATCTGGATGTTTTTATGTTATTGTATTTATATTGACATGACCTATATTGGAGGATACCTCAGCAAAAATAAAAACACAAGCGTGGTTTTGTTCAATCTGGATATTTAAGCCTAAATAACTTCCCAATTATTTATATAAGATTCAAATAAATTTGATTTTTTCTTAACTGTAAATTTGCCATTTTAAAGAAGTATTATAAAAACCACTACAACTTAGCTACCACACATTATATTATATGTGTTAATTTAATATTCCAATACTTATGACCATAGTTGTTTTAAATTTTTTTTTATAACAGTATTTTACTTTGATCAATGATTTTAATTTGCTATTTCAGGTATTAGAAATTCCCTCCTATCCAGATAATGGCAGTGATCCTTTGTCAGACTCTGATCATCGTCCAATCAACTTCTTAGAGAGGCTGTCAAAAACACACCCAATATGGTTCCTCTCAGAAATTGGCAGATCTGGAGCAGTCCATTTACTGAAGGACAGGGAAATTGGGGTATGTTAAGATCAGTTTTGAATTTGCATATTGAAAACTTGTCAGATTTTGAATATGATGAAATGAAAAGAAGGGAATTTTACAATTATCTACCAATAAAAGATAAAAAGTTAGTAAAATTTGAGTGTGATATATAGACAGTCATGATGATTGATGTACAGATGGACTGAATGACAGGCAGACAGAGTGTTAACTTTTAGTCCCCTATGGCTTCACCAGTTGGAGACTGAAAAGATAAGATTAATAACCACATAATTGCATTTTACATGAAAGTCATAATACAACAATTTAACATGGCAGTCAAAATACAAATGTATATGTACAATTGTAAAATATGCTGGAGGCACATGGTCTTGTACTGTAACAGTGCACACTTTACATTTCCTGCATGAAAGTTTGGATTTTTTCCATAAATGATGTACTTGAATGAGTAATTGATATTTATTTGCAGACATTTATAATCCGGAACTCCAGCCAACCTAACACCTATGCTTTGTCTGCTCAGTTTCCGACGAGAAGTGGTGCTAATGTTGATCACTATCTGATTGAGAACATTAGAGATGGCTACAGGGTTCAGGGGTCAAGCCACATATTTTCTGATCTCACAAAATTGGTTGCATTTTATCATGAAAATTTGTAAGTTATCAAGAAAGTATTAACCTATTATACTAAAATATCAATTGTGAACTATTATTGTCGGCATCTATATGAATGTGAAATTCTTAGTCATCAGTAGAGAGCAACAACAAAAAAGGGGGACATTCAAGATTATCATACCTGCCAACTTTTCAAAATCTCCATGGGGGATTTTATGCACACGAGGGACTAATGCTCCTCTTATATTGTCATAAGTCTTCTTAATCTACTACTATATTGTTTAAATGAGTACATATGTGCTTAAATATCCTTTTAACTCATTTGAATGCCTGTTATGAGGTCCTTAGTTTATATAATAAAGAATTTCGAAATTTTGGTCAATACCTCCCATGGGGGATATCCCCCATAAATCAGGATAGTTGGCAGGTCTGGATTATGGCAAAACAAAAGCCAACACAAATTAAAAAAAAAACGTAACAGACAATTAATGAAAAAAGACGTAAATGAAAAACACAAAAATATAAAGATTGAGAAACATTTACCTTACCAAAACAGGAGTGAACTTTGTCCTGTGATTGGTTAACCAATACCATGTCCATCAGTAGCACCAGTCATGATAAATACCAGCAAAATATATTGATCATTAAAGAAAAAAGAATGACAGATGGACACTTCACAAAATTAAAGACATCTATATAATCTACTAGCCTACTAGGAAACACTTTGTCAAGGTTGATCTTATATTTTCCCTCAAAGGAAAATGTTAAAAGCACAGAAGGAATAAAGTTAACTTGCAGTTGTTTATGCCATATGAGTGTGTTTTGTTATTAAAAAGAGAATACTTTTTCATATTGTTTGTTTAATAAAGAAGTTAATTTTTTTTTGACAGAGAAGAATTACCTCATAGACTAGTGCTGCCACCTACAATAAGAAGAGCAAAAACTCTTCAGGAATTAACATCATTATCCTTATTAGGACAAGGTAATAATGTAATTAGCAACTGTTTTCGCAAAAATGTTGTCCTCTCATATTACCAAAACTATTGTCTCATATGAATTTACCAATTATCGATTTTAAATGAAAAAAACACCTTTAAACTTTGTGTGTGCATGACAGTTTTTGATAGAGTAATATTCACAATGAAGATAATATTTAATAATAACAAAACTTCTTTTTATTTGGATACAATAATGTACATAATATCATGATATTTTAATAAGAATGTGTTGCATTTGATTATGAACAGTGGAAAAAAAAGGATTTTACTCATTGTTAAAGGACATACAGTGACCTGTAGTTGTTAACTTCTATGCCATTTGGTCTCTGGTGGAGAGTTGTCTTATTGGCAATCATCCCACATCTTATTTTTAAAGAATATAAGAATTTAGTTAACTAACACATATATTATAGCATATAAATGTCTTACAATGGATATGCTGCTTTTATACATTTAATAAAAGGAGGTGTGGAAAAAGATATCAATGAGATATCAGTAATCCACAGCAAACTTATCAAAACATATACTTTTTTATGCCCCACCTACAATAGTAGAGGGGCATTATGTTTTTCGGTCTGTGCGTCCGTTCGTCTTTCCATTCATCCGCCTGTCCCGCTTCAGGTTAAAGTTTTTGGTCAAGGTAGTTTTTGATAAAGTTGAAGTCCAATCAACTTGAAACTTAGTTATAGTACACGTGTTCCCTTTGATATGATCTTTCTAATTTTTATGCCAAATTAGAGTTTTGACCCCAATTTCATGGTCCACTGAACATTGAAAATGAAAGTGTGAGTGGGGCATCCGTGTACTATGGACACATTCTTGTTTTATTAGGAATCAATATGTCCTATAAAGGAAATTCTAATAAAACATTAATTCACCAATCAAGCATTTAAATATATTATTGACAATAGTTTAATTATGGCATATAACACTAAAATTCAAATATTCCTCAGTATTTGCATCTATAGATTCTAATATCAATATTTTGTACTGTTAAATTTGTTTCTTTTCAGATTTTTGGACATCATACAGATTTGACAAAGGATCCAATTTATCACTGTCTTTCCAAGGATCTAATAATTCATTATCTACTCCAACAAAAAGTGAACCTTTACATAAATCAAGAAGTGAACCAATTAATATCACAAGTGCTAAACATTATAAGAAACAAAAACTAGGTCATTCTTTATCAACACAGTGTTTTAAAGAACCACTATCAAGCCAGTCTGAAGAAAGCTTGACAGGTAGTCATACTAATATTCACCAGAAATCATCACCCATAAGGTTTCATCTAAATCGGGATGGCACAGTTGTGTCATCTCCCAACATTCATCATTCAGTATTAGGACGGAGAAAAACATCTGAAGGCAGTATATGTGAAAAGTGTCAGTCAAATAAACGTATGGATGATAATTGGTCATCAGGAAATTCCAGTGATGGAATTAATTCTAAAACCCATCCTCGTGCTTCAAAACAGAAATCAAACTTATATTTTACAACTTCCTTAGATTTGCTAAATATCCCAGATAATCAGTATTTTAAAAGTAGTTTATCAGATAAAATGAGTGATTATGAAGACGTTTGGCGGTCATCATCTTGCGCTACTCCTATCTCTTCTGTTCAAGGTAAAACAAAACGGCATAAGTGTAAAAGAAGGAATCCTTATCCTAAAGTAGCTGAAAAATCAACAGTAACATCACCTACTCTTTTAAACAATGCAATCAGTGTTATACGATCAGAAAATAAAATTCAGACTTCTATTCAAAACAACTTGCATACAGATGCAGGAGTTCAAACAACTCATTCAGGTTCAATTTCCTCTCAAAGAAAACTTAGGAAATCTGTATCGCTAGATATTCAAAATACTCAAGATAAACTAGGAGAATCATTTAGATCAGACAAAATGGTTAGTGCTACAATATCTGCTACAATATCAACTCAAACAAGCCCAGTTAAAGTTATCTGTAAACCAAAACCTCTGAAAAATATTGAGGATAAAGGATCTGGTGCATCTAGTAGTTCTAAATCTGGTATCAAAAGTCCTGTTTATGCAGAACCATTTGATGCATTAGAAGCCAATGAAACTGAGCATGTTAATCTTGTTCGCATAAGGAGACGATCAGCTCCATCTATGGGACTTAGTGGAAGAAAAGCAAAAGGTGTTTCACAGGGTCCTAATTTAGAGACTATTATGTCCCCTGGTTATGAAAGTCAGGAAAACTACGATTTTGAATATAATTTAAATAATGGTGCTAATCTGAATGATTCAGAAGTTCTGGAAAGAATTCCTGTCCCGATGAGACGATCTCATAGTATGAAGGAGAGATCAAGCCAGAATGCTGATAACAACATGACAGTTCTTGACAGAGAAAGCATTAAACATGTGGCTAGTGAACTAGAAAAATTACATATAGCTAAAGGATCAAATGTGAATAAACTGAAAAGTGGATATGGTCAATTTCAGGAGGATTCTATGTTTGATGATTGTGATGAGCAAGAACAAGTAACTCCTACTTTGAGTAGGTTTCCTGTTTATCGACCATCTAAATTAAATGATGCCTCAAGACATTCTATGTTCTCAGAATTATCAACAGTGGAAGATCTAATATCCAGTGTGAATCCTCAATTAACAGTGAAACCTTTACAACAAATTCCGACAATTATTTACAGCGGTGCTATGTCAGAATATGATAATCTTACAAGTCACTATGCACCAGTATCAACAAGGTCTAATGCAGAAACTGAATTCTGTGCACCATGGGACAAAACCTTTTATGGTTCTCTTTTAAATTGTGACCCTAAATCAGTACCACAGATGGACCTTCATTCACGAATTTTAGCCTGGCAAAAGGATACTCTTCACATAGATCAGAGATCTCCTGGTGATCGCAGTAGTTGTCACTCAGATTCCACTCTTGTTGGTGATTCAGACGAGGATGTCATAGATACTCATGATTTAATGCTCCAGCCTCCATCTTTAGGAAGTAGTTTAGACAATTTAACTGATCTGGAGGATAGAACAAAACATCAGCAATCAAAACATTATTCTTCTAATGATCATAAAACCACTGGTAAATGTGTTCAGACAGACCCTCAAGGTCCAGATCACAGAGATGTACAGCAACACAACAAAAAAGGTTAGTGAATGCTACAATGTATAGCTTTATTAATTCTAGTATACTTATGTATGAGTTTATTGATTCTCCTAGGTATTGTTAGTGAGTTTTGATGAGATTGTGATAAAAAAAATTCCCATACATTTTCAGTCTATCTGGTATCTAGGATAAAAAAAAATGGAGCTGTTGTCAACAAGGAAATAAAAAGGTTATCTTCACAATGAATTAGCTACCAATCAAAGCAACTGAAATTAAAGGTGTCATATGTAAGACAATTTACAATACATGAGTGTATAAATGTGAGAAAACATTGTTCCAGCCATAATGTTGTGCCATATTCTCAATATAAACTGACTGCTACCTTGAAATATACACATATAGGTGCTGCTTGTGTTTTCTTATGCAGTTGATTTTAAATATATCTCAAAAGTCTATTGCTAAAATATTTTTTAAAAGAATGTAAAAGTTTCAGAATTTTGAGAACAGACTATTAAAAAGCCCAAAGACGTGAGTAATGCCTCAATAAGTCAGCAATCTAACAATACAAATAAAAACAGGAAAGACGTCTATGTAAACAATTGAAATTGTTATCAGGCAGGAAAGTAGAAAAATAGAAAGTAAGACAAAATATAGTGAATGAAACAGTGTTTAGGTATATCTAAGACTATGTTTTTGAGATGAAATAAAATATATTTCAGCAGATTCAGAATGTATCGTGTATTATACCTTATGTTTTGAAAGTTATTTGGTATTTATAAGTTAATTCATTAATGCAAAAACTTATTAATAACATTTAGAACAGATTGACATGAATAATGTTAAAGAAGACTCAGTCAGAGATTTCTAATCTTTTAATTTCGAGTGAAAAAACAGGACGAACAGCTTTCAGCTACAATAGAAACTTACATTCCTGTTTCCTTTTTTGCCATAATTTCACTTGTGAATACATGTAATCTATTTAAATGGGTTGAAATCTTGAACACTGCACTTAGATTTAGTAGCCCAACCCTCTTTGATATTGATGGCTTTCAGTTTATGCACCTGTATATATAAACCAAACACAAATGCTCTTTTTTCTATCTTAACAATGAGAGGTTAGGATGTTCATGTTAAAAGCTTTCTTGTTAAATTGACATGGTAGACATTGAAAATTTGCTAGGCAGGTAGTTATTAAGTACTGTTTGAATTATTATAAAATGGTGTATTGAAATCATAAAAAAAAGCATGTCTTTCAGTAATATCACATTATGAAATGTGGAAGAGGAGCAAATTCAATGTATAAGATAATAAGCATTGTCTGACATATTACAAAAATACAAAGATGTGTTTTGAATTTCCCCATTGTTTGCTGTTGGCCTGTTTACCTCAGTGGCACTGACTGATTTATGTATTGCTTGCAAAAGCACTTCTTTGTTAAAAAGATAATTTTCTTTATTTAGACTAAATTTACATAGTTTCTTCAACTCTTTTGTCACCATTATCCATTTAAAGATTACGATGATTAATGTATTATAATGGAATTATTTTGAGGAGTTATAAATAAACGACTTTTTGATCTGGACCAGGTTCTTCTATTGTAAAGTTTAATGACTTCTGTGATATTTAGGGTAATTGATGAGGTGGTTTGTGATAGGATCTAGATTAAGTTTATTTGTGTATCACATTTAATCGATTTGTTTGTACCTGTCTTCAGAATTATCCTGTTTTCTTGTCATCATCTTTTAAATGGTAAATAATAGTTTCGTAGACAAACTGGCTAATATTATACAATGGATATATTTGTATTCAAAATTTTGTGGATTATTTGGTATAATTTGAAATTTATTGTTGTATACAGAATAAATTTAAAACCTATTTAATCAGTAGGTTATAATGATTTTTTGAACATGTTGTCCGTCATATTAAGTGTCTGTTAAAATCCCTTATCAGTCTGTCAGGTGTGTTAATAACAAATTTATTTTTAGCTCACCATGTGAGCTTATGCCATCACTTGGCGTCCGTCGTCTGTCGTCGTTGTCTGTTGTCGTCTGTCGTCGTCTGTAGTCGTAAACTATTTCAAAAATCTTCTCCTCTGAAACTACTGGGCCAAATACCTTCAAACTTTAACTAAATGTTCCTTAGGATATCTAGTTTATAAATTGTATCCAAAGTTTTGATCCATCGACAAACATGGCCGCCATGGCTAAAAATAGAACATAGGGGTCAAATGCAGTTTTTGGCTTATATCTCATAAACTAAAGCTTTTGGAGCAAATCTGACATGGGGTAAAATTGTTCAATTGGTCAAGATCTATCGGCCCTGAAATTTTCAGAGGAATCGAACAACGCATTGTTGGGTTGCTGCCACCGAATTGGTAGTTTTAACAAAATTTTGCGGTTTTTTGTTATTATTTTGAATATTATAATAGATATATATAAACTGTAAGCAGCAATAATGTTCAGCAAAGTAAGATCTACAAAAAAGTTAATATGACCAAAATTGTCAATTGACCCCTTAAGGAGTTATTGCCCTTTAAAGACAATTTTACACAATTTGTTCATCAAGTTTGCTTACATTTGAAAATCTTCTCCTCTGAAATACAGGTGAGCGATTCAGGCTCTTGAGAGCCTCTTGTTAACTAGAACATGAGGAAACAATGTAAAAATTCCAATGAAAAATTTTAAATGGGATTTTAGCTAAAATTATTATTGCTTTAAAAAGTAAGGTCTATCAATTATCATTTTACACGATCTTATGATACACAACTCTGTATAAATGAAAATAGATGTGGGATTAACATCATGCCAGTTACACATTGTTTAAGAAAACAGATTATCTACAGGCGATTTAGAACGTGTCATATTGTTGAGACTGTATGGTGACCTCACGACCTTCCATCATGAACAGATGCTTAATATATAAATCAGCTAACAAAAAACCTCAATAGAGATTAAAAAAAAAGTTATATGCCATTTAGTGACAGTTTTATTCATATATCACATCAAATTCAATTACTCTAAGCAAGCTGTTAATCTTCGATATGATAATAAAGTTATTCTTCTCTCTACATATTGTTGAAATTTAATTAAATACATGAGCAATTTGTATTGGTGTTTGACAATGTCTAATTTCTTATACTTTAACTAAATATTTACAGTACATTTAATTCTTCATTTAATTATTGCAAAACATGCATAGTGTCATTTTGTAGGAAAAATTAAAAAAACTCTTAATTTGATGTGTGAATGTTGCATTTTGATCATTCATAACTGCCAAAAGAAAATCCTATATTTTCAAAAACCTGGAGAGAACTGGCACAGTGAATTTCAAAACCTGGAGAGAACTGGCAGAGTGATATTCAAAAGATTGATTGATTGATGGTGTTTTACCTCCACTTTTAGAACTCTTGGCTAAATCATGGCAACCAGTTTTTATTTGTGGAGGAAGCCAAGAGTACCTGGAGAGAACCACCGACCCTAAAAAGTGGAGGAAAATTGTATACTGTAAGAGAAAATATGCTATTTATGTGATCTGCTTTTGAAATTAATTTATTTTTTTCTTCAATAGAAAAAAGAAAAGAAGACAGCCCGGAATACAAGATCAGAGAGTATATATGCAGGTTAGATTCAATTTTATGTTGAACTTCAGTAATGAAGAGTAATTGTGAATTATTTTTAGTTTACATGAAAAAATGAAAAGTTGAAATGTTATGATTCTTTGTCATTACAAATAGACAACTTTTTGCTTTTCACAAATGAAAATCACTTTGAAATACTTAAGAAGTGTCTACTCTCAAACCAGACTTGCAGAATTAGAAAAAATGTAAGAAAAGTAATAATGGAGATATGGGTGGTCTTTCTTTATATGTGATCGACTGATCAGTTTTTGTCTTTTAAGTCGACGAAGGTTTGTACTCCATCCGTCTGTCTGTCTATCTGTCTGTCTGTCTGTCTGTCTGTCTGTCTGTCTGTCTGTCTGTCTGTCCATCAGTCAATCCGGCAAATCAGTTTTCCATACTTTTTTTCTTCATGCTTGACGATATTGATTTGAAATTTGGTATATAGTTTTATCCTGACAAGTTACAGATCAAGTTTGAATTATGTTTTGGTCTGATGATTTTGTGCAGAGTTATGGTCCTTTGACTTAGAAAATTCACTCAAATAATCAGTTTTCCACACTTTTTTTTGTTATGCTTGAAGATATTGATTTAATAATTGGTATATAGTTTTATCATGACAAGTTACAGATTAAGTTCAAAATTTGTTCTGGTCTGATGATTTTGTGCAGAGTTATGGTCCTTGGACTTAGAGAATTCACTCAAATAATCAGTTTTCCACACTTTTTTTTGTTATGCTTGAAGATATTGATTTAATAATTAGTATATAGTTTTATCATGACAAGTTACAGATCAAGTATGAATTTTGATCTGGTCTGATGATTAAGTGCAGAGTTATGGCCCTTGGACTTAAAAAATTCACTCAAATAATCAGTTTTCCACACTTTTTTTCGTCATGCTTGAAGATATTGACTTGATATTTGTTATATAGTTTACATCATGACAAGTTATAGATCAAGTTAGCATTTTGTTCCAGTACAATGAATTCTTAACCGGTAGGGGACTATGTATTGCCATGCAATACTCTCAGAATGCTTGTTCCATTTACTGCAGGTGTAGAAATTGTAACACAAATAAGAGATATATCTGTTTTTTTAATTGAGATATTTTCAAAAGAAATATCATATGCTTTAAAAAATTAACACAACTGACATTTTTGTAATTGTCGAAATGTTTCAAGGCATATGATATTGACTTCTTTTACGATGAAATGAAAACTATCCTTGCTATAGAATTACAGAACGAACACAGTAAACAACTTAGTTTCATTATTGATGACTGCAGGTTTCATCATGCACAGATACTTTATTAAAAAATTAGACAATTTATTATATGTGTATATTTTTAAAGTTATTGTTCAAAACGGTGAAACTTGTCTGTCTAAATCTTGACATGCATAAACTGTAAATCTGCACTCTTGTACCAGGATTAAAATTAACTAAATTTGAATTACTTAACCTGTATATATATATATAGGTTTATATACTGACAAAAATCTTCAATGTCAGACATTATTTTTAAGATTCCATTTTATTTGTAATTGACAATAAATTAGATGATGCTGTACATGTTCTTCATCTTGAATTTGTAATATGATAAGTGAGACATTCATACTTTAGATTAAGGGGAAGATGGTATCAATATATCACCTTATGTAATGACCAATATATATATAATGCATTCTATTTTTGGTACTTTTCAATCAGTACCTTTAGTCCATATTTCGGTTTCCTTTTGCAGGTTGTCTCAAGACAGAAATACAACATTTGGTAGTACTATAGAAAACTTTATTCAGTGTACACTAGAAAGTCAAGAAACTAATCCCCATTTTGTCACTAGAAATGTAAGTAATATCCTGTATTAGATAATTGGTATTCAGTTTTTTCATATTCACACCAGAGTCTTTATAAAATAGTGAAATAATTGGCTGGTGCCTTCAAAATAAAACAAGTCCAAGAGACCTGCCATGTCCTGAAAAGCTCAATGTAAAAAAGGAAAATAATTACATCAAAGAATCCAAAACAGCCAACAAAATAAAAATCTGTTAAGAAAAAAAAGGGTTATTTAAAAGTACCTAAATCTGTATCTAATATTAATTTTATGCCAATTTGAGATGAGCCAGTTTGATCTTAAGCTACCTTTTATAAAACTTTAGTATTTGCTGATAATTTTTAGTAAAAAGAAGAAAGAACAATAGATTGCAAGCATAAGATCAAGTAAGGTCACCTCCATAAATATTCTGAATGATGAGAAAATGTAATATTCAATAATAAACCAATTTTTCTGCATGTAATACACTTTTATTCAGATATGTAAAAAAATGGAGATGAGGTTTGATTGCCAATGAGACAACTATCCACCAAAGTTCAAATGAAATGGGTGTAAGCAATTATAGGCAACCGTACGGCCTTCAACAATGAGAAAAACCTATACCACATAGTCGGCTATAAAAGACCCTGACATAAAAAATATGAAACAATTCAATTGAGAAAACTAACGGCCAAATTTATATAACAAAACAATTTACGAAAAACAATTATGACCGACATGAACCAAAGACAACCACAAAACTACAGGCTCCTGACTTGGGACATGCATTTGAAGAATGTGGCGGGGTTAAACATGTTTGTGAGGGCTCAACCCTCCCCTAATCTGGGACAGTGGTGAAACAGCACAGCATAAGAACAAACATTAAAAATCAGTTGAAAAAGGCTTAACTCATCAGATCGATACAAAGCAAAACAATCAAACAAAAACACAGATCGGACATGGCAGGGTATTTATCCATCCCTCATCCCTAACAACAAAAAGGACACTAAGTACAGATCTGAGAGTACTCGCAGTTACTGACAGCAGTAATGTTTGGAAGGGCAGTTTCATTAGAATAATAGGATCATCCAAGGTATACTTTCTTCTTCTAGGTAAGACAGTTTATGACAGGAATAAAGAATTATCTCGTAAAGCATGGAGAAGGAGAACTAGACGAAATTATACAGAAGGAAAGGACCAATGTAAGTTTATTGTCAGTAGACTTACACTTAGTTTGATCTCTTGGATTCTAAAAATAAGTATGAGTCAATTTCAAGGACATATATGTTCCATGCCCTGTCTTTTTTTGAAAAGCTTTTTGTAGATCTCGATGCAATCAAATATACTACATGTTGCTTTTTGGATTTAGTGAGAATGTCAGTTGGTTATCTACCTTCAGACTATATTTAATTGGTGAAAACCACAAAAGTAGTCTAAGGACTCTTTTTTCACTCAAGTCACTTGAACTCAAACCACACTTATAATTTTGAATGCCTTGGAGTGAACTCCCATAGAATAGCCATAATTATGATAATTTCAAGACTTTTGTTATCATGCAATTCCTGTTAGAATAACTTTTTAAGGAAAGGTATTATTTTATCATACTCATATAAACTTTTAAATTTTTTTAGCTGAATCCCAATGAAATATTGAACATAGATGGTATTATAGAAAAAGCCTTGCATGTATGTGTACTCAGACCTCTGAAACACCATATATACAGATTGTTTGTTGAAGAATACACAACGTAAGTAAAAGAAAATAAAGTACTTTTCATTATTTTGTTCCAGGCACAATAAAGGCATGGGAATAGCATCAACAAAACTGAATAATGTTACAAATACATGAAATATAATACCAGCAAACATTAACTGCCTTGAACATTTATATTGTACAGTAAATTTTTTACTTGAAATCCTGAAATTTGTCTTTTTTTATTCAAATTCAGCAAGACAATAGATAAAGTAAAGCAACTTACATTACTCATTAATTGTCTTTCCTTAAATAAGAAAGCATAATATTGTCTGTCATATAGCTTCTATAAGTTTTTGCTCAACAGCAATATTCTGTAATTTTATATTGTCTTTCAGCAATGGAAGTTTACCATCTTTATCAAGGAACATAAAATATGCCAGAAGTAAAACACCAGTAGAAATAGGTCTAAGGGTATGTACCTTTTGTAGAGATATGCAAGACCCATAATATTTCATCCAAACACTGTAAGGGATGTTCCATAAAAACATGCAGGGAAGGCACTTCCAATTCTCAACTATGGGTGGGTGTTATCTATGTTTTTGCTTAGTGGAAATGTAAGTGAAATCTTAATTTGCCTCTTTAGGTGGTTACCCCATTTATAAAGTGCCTTTCCTGGGTACCATGTATGTTTTAATGGAACAGCCCTAAGGATAACACCATTAAACAGGTATTTGTCGAGCCTGCGACTTTTGTCGCAAAAGTGAGACATAGCGATCCTACATTCCGTCGGCATCTGCGGCGTCCACAAGTTTTCACTCTGTGGTTAAAGTTTTTGAAATTTTAATAACTTTCTTAAACTATCCTGGATTTCTACCAAACTTGGACAGAAGCTTGTTTATGATCATAAGATAGTATCCAGAAGTAAATTTTGTAAAAAAAAAATCCTTTTTATCCATATTTTACTTATAAATGGACTTAGTTTTTCTGCCAGTTAACATTAAATTCACTCTGATTAAAGTTTTTAAAATTTTAATAACTTTCTTTAACTATCCTGGATTTGTACCAAACTTGGACAGAAGCTTGTTTATGATCAAAAGCTAGTATCTAGAAGGAAATTTTGTAAAAATTTATTTCCTGTTTTTCCGTATATTACTTATAAATGGACTTAGTTTTTATTCCATTTAACATTACATATAGTCTGCAGTTAAAGTTTTTAAAACATTTATAAGATTCATAAACCAGCCTGGATTTTTACCAAACTTGGACAGAAACTTCTTACAATCAAAAGATAGTATCTAGAGGAAAATGTAAAGATTATCTTCTTTATCATTTGTTCATTCAATAAATTTATGTTTCAACTCTTTTATAAATCTATAGATTTGATTGCATACTGTATTCATTTTTTACAAGCATAACTTTTTTCATACATTTCAAACGTTTTATTTAATTAACTGTTCTATTATGTGCATTCCCCTATCACACTGAAAACAGCAAAAGTAGGCGAGACACAGGGTTCCGCGGAACCCTTATGAATTTTCTTATTTGATTTGTTTATTTCTCAAGCCCCACCTGCAGAGTTGAAGTTTAAAGTGTGTTGGCAATTTTTAAAACAATTTTCAAAGCAAATTTTTTTATTCTGCCTTGTTTGAAATCCAGTAAGAATGTACTTCACAGTGTCAGATATGAGTTATTTCCCTGGAACTAATAAAAAAAAAATTGACTGCTTAGATAAATTCTGATGTTTAACTTTACAAAAATAAGCATTTTTTAAGGTAGTTGAAACTAGATACAAGTGTTCCTTTTTGAAGAGATTTGTTTTCAAACAACTTGTTCCTGAACACATGATTTTTTAAACCAATTTTCAAATTTATTTAATGGTTTTACCACCATGCTTAAAATTATGCTTAAACCAAAATACCAGAAAATCACTACCAGTACACGAGAACAGTCTTGTTTATTGATATTATTTAGCCCTTATATAATATTATGAATTAACATGAAAAACATTTTAAAACAGAGTGGTGCATCAGTTCCAAACAGTTCACAAATGGAGACAATCAGATTCCATCTTACAAAGATGCAGAAAGCCTATTCTCCGCTGAAGAAGCTAGAACATCTTCTACAAGCTACACAGTGCATTTATCAGTGTGTAAGTTATTTTCATATAATTTTACTGTGAGCATCGATATTTTGGTGGGTTATTTCTTGTAATTTCAATGTATAAATGTTTAGCCCAGGGATTAAATTTGTGTGGAACAATAAGTTTACCTTCCATTCAAAAATCAGGAAATGTTTTGTCGATTTTACGTGATTGCAAAATGAGAGAAAATCAACATGGCTCTAACAATTTTCACGTTTACAGTAATTGATTTTTATGTAAAGTTCCGAAGTAGAATTGTTACCTATTTTATTATTGGAATTATAATGCAGTATCCACAGTGGTACATGTCATGAAAATAAACTCAGTGTTTTAAAGACTTATTCTAATATAAATTTTCAGATGTTATTCAAGGTTTGATACATTAGTCAGTTTGTTGAAAGGAGTGTTAATGTGTCTCTTTTTTTTAATTCTTGTCGTTGTTTACAGTTGAATGGGAATACTGATGAAACAATACAAGGACCAGTGGCTGTTGGGGCAGATGGTAAGTTATTACTCTTTTGAAGATTAAAATTGATATGGAATGATTGTGCATGAAAAAAAATAGACCACAAGAAAGAAATTCAAAAGGTTACATATTCTTATAAGTTCTACTGATTTTATCTTGAAGTGTACTGTAAGTTTGTCATCAGTGAGTGATATGCCTATATGCATGATCATGCTGAAGACAATTCTGTTATTTGAATAAGTAGTATTTTTGTCAAGCCTGCAACATTTATGTGGTGGAAGCAAGACATAGCAATCCTACATTTTGCCTCTGGCTGCATCAGTGGAGTCAGCATTTAGATTCTGTTTGTTGTTAAAGTATTTTTAGACATCAATAACTATGGAAAACCTTCATGGAATTTTGTAAAATTTGGACAAAAGCTTTCTTATGCACAGCTGTTGTCTTATTGACATCTTGCTAAGAACTGCACTTACACTATTGCTTGAAAATTATTGTTTTAAATATCATATCTTAAATGTTATTTATGTTCAAATAATCTTTGAATTTGAAATTAGAATTTTGCTCAACAAACACTGTTTCATAATTGGTTTTGTAATACTTATTATTTTTCCAGATTTCTTGCCAATGTTGATCTATGTAGTGGTACACTGTGGGATAATTGCAGCTGAGGTAGAGGCTGACTACATGTGGGATCTGATAAATCCAGCTGTTATGAACACAGAAGGAGGATATTATCTGACTTCATTGAATAGTGCTGTATTGGTTCTGAAAAACTTTAAAGAAATGCAGGAAGCCAAAAATACTCAACATGAGGTACTGTTGTACATGTAATAACAATTCAAAGATTTTAATAACTTTCACTTTCAATTTTGGTTTTCTTTATCTGTTGTTACTATGACTATTAATGTTCCATAATCTTAATATCAACAGAAATATTTCCTTGATTAAAGTTAATCTAAACTTGTCATTTAAATCTGTTTCCTTAGCATCTATTTAGTCATTTATGATGTCTATTTGCAATTCAGAATTTATTCAGTGTGTTTGTAGAAGTATTTAAGCAATGTATATTTTATTCATGTGGACTATGATATACCACTTCTAATTTCTGAAGTGCCACACTGTAGGTATATTTCAAAACTTTGGAAATAATTCTTTATGAGGAGTTTATAGATAGTTAGTGTGTTATTATGCAAAATTCTGACCTGTTTCAGTATGTCCTAGTTTTTAAGTATCAGACAAAATGCTTCCCCTCTTTTTTATTAACCAATGTATGGAATCCTCCAGTTGATGTTTTTATTCTGAGTATGCATGTGATATTTACACAAAGAACAAAGACTTGAAGCAACAACAAAAAAAAGTCAACCCATATTAATAACAATATTGTTTACATTTCAGAGTCGTTTACCCAGTATTAGTGACATGCAAGGTTTTCTAAAGATTGCCATCCCAGATGAACTGAGAGATTCCATTATCTGGAAAACTTTACCTGTCAGACCTAATATGAATACTCGAGATGTTTGTAAGTACATTTATGACAGAGCAAACTTTGCAAGTAGATTGATCTAAAAACATAGGATTTTATTTGTTGCACAGAATCTAAAATGAATAAATATTGAACATACAAGACAATTACTATTAAAAAAAGAATGTTTAAGGACCACATTTCACATTATCTGCTCACTCTGTGTCAGGCAGTGCAGTTGTAGATTTTTGTTACCACAAGTAATTTATAGGGCTTAATTTAACTTTGATGGATTTCAGAAACAATTTTAAACTTTGATTGATTACAACAACAAAAAATGTAATACTTTTCAGTACAATGTGCATCATTATAAAAGACAGCATGTCCAATTTACCAAATGCAGTGTCACAGTATAATCTTCCACTTCTGTATATATTTATAGTTCAAAATAACTTCCTTAAAAATTGATGAAATATAATCAATCTCCATGGTCATCTCCCTGCTCCAGTGTTATTATTTGTCATTATTTGACAGCACAGTTTGACAAGGATTTAGTTACATTGGGGCCTTTCAACTTGAATTTTTATTAAGTAGTTTCAATCAACAATAAGATGTGTAGGTATCATATATCTGTAATAATAAGCATAACTGTGCTAACTTCTTGTACAACAATAGATATATAGTAACATTTTTTTACTTTGTTATCTAGAGGAAATTAATAGCCTGGCTTTAGCCCTATTTAACCAAATTAGGAATTTTGAAATGACTCTCTTTCACTTGGTTTTTGGAGATAGCTGACTGTTTCACACATTGATCCACATACAATTTGTGTATACTGTTTTAAAATATTTAGAGTAGTATCCCGTATATTGAAGATTTTTTTTATATTTTAGGTTCCATGATTGCTCACAAATTCAAAATAACAAACCCTCAGGATTACGGTTTTTATTACATAGTGAGGGGAATAGGTAAAGTTCTTTTTTATTTGAATACTTCTTAATGCATTGCACATTTATACTATAAGTTATATGGTTTGCTACTGACCCCCTACGAATCCATAGAGGGTTACCGGTAGTAAAATCCATAGGGGTGAGGCCGAAGGTGTTAAACCAATCATAGCGTCATAATTTACCCGAGGTGCAATAAAAAGAATTGGACATTTTTATATTGTATAATATTAACACACAAAAATATGAATAATGGGGAAAATATTTCATATTTATTGCGTGAATATTTATGAATAGAAGATAAAAAGAAAACATGTAAAACAGGATACTTTGAATTCATTTATTTAGTTGGTACTATTTTTGTGGGCGAAGAAAAATTTATATTGTCGTTGATGTTTGATTTCATGGTTTTCCCAAAGTCTGCATTCTAGCCTATGGAAAATTTGTGGTGTACCACTTGGTAAAAATGAGGACCAAACCTGACATCTTACATGACCAAGCATTGAGTCTTCTGGAATAAAATAGATATTCTAAAAAATATATCAATTTTAAAGAAACTGGAACAAATCTTAAAGTATTTTAGAATTTTTTTTTATCATACATCATATATCTGATGACATGGCCATCCAGTAGAGAACATTGTTTACTATTACTAAAACTATATTATAAAAGAGATTTGGTATTATTTACAATAGGACAACTTTCCACTAAACACCAAAAGAAAGAGCATTTGAATATCTACAAACACAAACTAAAATATTCTGCTATCTATTTATTTGTCTAATGATATTTTTTTTTTCAGAAACAAAACTGAATGATAGTCATTGTCCTCAAGTTGTGAAATCAGAAATCATGTCAAAGAATCAAGATTGTGTATTTGCCTACAAGAGAACAGCATCAAATATTGCATGGCCACTATCTGTGAAGAAGTAGACAGCCAGTATTACATGTGTGGTCTTTCTTGTAATTATCAGCATAGTATTAACCTTAATGCCTGTTATCTTTCTTACATGATACAGTCTTAAGAAAAGATTGATCAGTATTGCCAGTGAAATAAATACTTATTGAGTTCATATTGGGCTTTTTCTGGGGAAAAAAAGGTTGTTTTGTTTTAGATTTTATATTTATTTTCTGTTTATTGTTGTAGGTTACTACATTTTAGTAAACCAAAAATCAAAACTAGTTTAGTTTCTTCAGATTATTGTCTTGGTTGTGAAAAAGGCATTTTTCATGCATAATGATTGTTAATTTTTAGACTACAAGCAAAGTGCTGTTGTTTCATTATAATTTTGTACTGTGATTTTATAACTTGGAAGTTAAATGAAAGGTACATGCTTAATCAAGTTCATGCTTTTGAGTAAGAAAACTTAACTGTTATTATTGAAGAGACTTTGGCCTTTCAGGAATATCTTAGAATAAAAACTATTTTCAAGTAGCAGTTTTAGTTTATATTTTTGCAAATTACAAGAGAAAGGTACAATAACAATATTCTTTCCATTTAAATGACTGAATTTTTGTTTTATACAAGGTTTAGAAAAGTCTTAACACCTAGTTGTCAGGCACTTAAGTATGAAAAAGCTTGACTTTTATATGAAAGCTTGTCTTTGACTACACAGCAGCAACCTTTCTCTAGCAATAGGGACACTTTTTTTAGTTAAACAGTATAAAGAAGGGCTTGAAAAATTGTTTTGGACCATTGTTATTCTGAAAAGTCCAAGCTTTTATTAAGCACAATAATAAACAGAACAAAAATATAAAAATGCTCCCTATTACTTTGACATTACATTTGAGCCTGTATTGCAATAATCTGCACTGGTTTTATCTTTAGTTGAAGTTATAGAGAAGTTTTATATACACATATCCTTCATTTTTTAAATTAGATTATTTGTTACAATTTTCCTAAAGGATAGAAGTACAGACAATATATTATTTTTACTGGGCATTTTTTATATAACAAAATTGTGTTTATTTGCTGTTTATTCATTCAAATTGTAATGTTTTGCAAGGTTGTATTGACCAGTCTAAGAAAAGCAGATTTTAGTCAATTATTTGTATTGACAATCTAATTCAAAGGAAAGCTTAGGTAAAACTGAAATTTTAAATTTCTACTTTATAAATGTGTAATTTATGCCATGATCAACAGATACAGATTAGATATGCCCCTGTTAATATTAATTCAGTCATTTTAACATCATATTTAGGAATATATAAAGGTATAGGTATAAGGGGAGATAATATGGTTATATAAGGGAGATAATCAGCATTATGTTGGTGCTTTTGGCTTCTCAGCTTCATGTTTCAGCATTATTGTGCCATTTTATATGTTGTGCCATACCAAGTGTAAATAGACCCTATTTAATTGTTTTATATAAAAAATTTGGATTAGAGTAAAATGGAATTGTTGTATTCTACCTAATAACAACTCTTGCTTCTTCAAGATTAAATGAGTGACCCCTCATTGACTTTATATAAAAAATCTTAAGATAAATTCAGTTGACACTTGTCCTTTTCATTATTCATAATAACCAAACAAATCTTTAAAAACTTGAAATGAAAGTCTGGAAATGGTTTTTGTCAGAAGAATATTTCATTTTAAGAATTTTAATAAGCATATTGCTTTAATTGGTGCCCTTCAAAATAACTACTACTACAGAGATGTTTAACAATCTTGACTACCATGAGGGTCTCACACATTTGTTTTAAATATTAAGTGTACCATATTTAAGTAAATGCTTGCCATTTTATTATCTCTTTCACATCAAAATTGTCTTTTAATGATTTTTCCAATTTTCATACCAGCAATATGAGTATTTAATTCTAGTGTTATGTTTATTTAGATACATAGATATCACTTCAGCAATGAAAAAAAAAATAGTAATTGATTAAAACAAACATGAAAGTTTCCCTTGGGAATTGCAATATAAGATTTTGCAATCTTTTACAGCATAATCTATTATTTTTTTATATCACTTTTTTAATCAGCAATCTTTTAAGCAATATTTAACCCATACAATGTAACAACTTATTCAGACATTTTGATAAATTTTTGCAGCAAATTTAGGTTTAAAAAATTCTGACAAGCATTCAAAATTTCAAAATATTACTAAAAAATAGACTAAAGCATGATGTCTTTACAAATTATATATTTTTCCAATTTGAAATCTGTAAGTTATAATGTTATGTGATACATTTAATAGAATATGTTTTATTTTGATTTTTAATCATGAGGATGACTGTTATATATTGTTATGTATGTGATTTTAAACTTGTCATATATTTCTTATTTTATCCTTCTTTCACAAAAGTTTGCACTTCTTCCCTGTGTAATGATTAAAGACTTGTCATGCAAACTTTTGTGAGAGGATCCAGATGTGTGATTTAATAAGTTGAAATGTTATGTAATGTTGTTGCTTCAAATCTTGTTGGTGATGTTATTAGTATGAGAAGATACCATGTGATGATATAAAATTGTCACATGATATGAAATGTTACTGTTAGGTATCATGTGATGTTATTGTTATAAGTTATAAGATGTTACAGTGATTATGATATTTAATAGGCAATTTTTGACTTAATTCCTTTTCCCGGATATCTTAGCGATAAATATATTATTTATTAAGTATTCTTCCTTCTGCCGAATTTAATCCAATGAGAACAATTAGTTTTAAATTGGCACTGTTGGCTCTTGCTGAATGTAGCTTGCCGTTCATTATAGCAAATATGGCTAACAAGACAAAAACTTGTAGTCATGAATGTGAGATATTTATGAGTTAAATTAATCATACCCCACATTTACAGACCTCTAAAATAGGTACTATTGGGGTTAATCATGCTCATTCATGACTAGTTTTTTCTTATAAAACCTGAATCATTTTGAATTTAGAAAAATGCCTTACTAAAATCCCCATATGTCATTTGAATGTTGAAGTAAAAGTTAATCAGGATTTGTTTTGACTATATAACAACTAAATTATGTAAACATTGCAAGATTTTATAATGATCTTTCAAAGTACCACTTATATTCACAAAACTAAAAGCTTAGATGATGGACTACCAACAAACTAAAAATTGCCTATTATTTGTATTATGTCAAAATGTCAATGGTCATGTGATTATGCGAAGATTGGATTTTTTTTTCAAACATTCATATTATCTCTTCATTAAGAAATGTGTGTTAGCAGTTAAATGATGTGATTGTTTGTGATGTTAATCTGAGGTTGTGCTTTGAATATTTTATTCCATTATAATCATTATTATTTTCATTTGTTAAGGCACAGTTGATGCTAAATAAAAAGATATTTACTTAAATGATGTTGATTTTGCCAGAATTATGTGCATCAAAGTTATAATGTGAAATGATGTTGTTTATTTTCAATGAGACATCTGAACACTTACTCATTTTGCCCAATTTGCATCTGTTCTCTGTTTTATCCATGTGCTTCTAATATCGTATTTCTACCAGTGTTAGCTATATTTACAGATATGGTACGAACTGATCTGGTCCCTTTGATGCTTATTCTCCCTCAATTTTTTTTTTATATGCAATTTCCAGATTCAACAATACTTTAGATCCTTTTTGGTTTGATCAGCTCTTCAACATTTGTATTATGTTTTGGATTTAAATATTTTGGCTTTGAGCAGTTCTGAAGAGACATTAATTGTCGAAATGCACATCTGGTGCAGGAAAATTAGTACCAATAATGTTATTCCTACAATTCATAACATCGTCATAAAGTTTGTATGACACAAGTTCAAGAAAATATAAGTATCAGTTTGTCCTAGGTTCAGGAACAAACAGAAAAATAAGAGTAGCTCATGTGCAGACATGAAATATCATTGAGTTGGTCATTTTCTATAAATAAATTGTGCATATATGGTCAAAAATATTTAAAATCATTAATCCTTTTCTGTTCAAGGAATAGATGGCTAAGCCAGATTTTTTACAATTTTTATACGCCCGTTTACGGGACGTATTATGGTATACCTCTGTCCGTCCGTCGTCAACATGTCGTACATTAACTCAAAAACGCTTTAACCAATTTGCATAAAACTTTGGTGAATTGTTTATATCTATTGACGTGAGGTCCCTTTCGTTTTTTATAAATTTTAGATTTTACATTTCCAAGTTATGGGGTTTTATTCATTAAAAAAAGGGGGATTTTCCAGTTTTCGAACAATAACTCAAGAATGCTTTCACCAACTTGCAAGAAATTTTGGTTAATTGTTTATATCTATTGACATGAGCTCCCTTTTGATTTTTATAAATTTTAGATTTTACGTTTCCAAGTTACGGGGTTTTATTTGGGTTTGTCTCACCTGCGATGAAAGTTGCAGAATGTGAAACATAGGGATAACTAACTGGCGAAGGCCTTGGCCGAGAAGTAAACTATTTGCATAAAGCTTGATATTTCAGAAGGTAATAAGACTTGGATGCTTCATACCTTGTATGCAGGTAATCAATGAGAAGAAGTTCAGGTCTGTCAAATGTCCATTGTCCTTGACCTCATTTTCATGGTTCAGAAATTGCTTGCATAAAAGTTTGGTTTTTTTTTGTCATGTGAAATACTCACTTAGATAATAGGATAGCTATATTTGGTACGTGGGATCTTTGCATTGTCTACATGTCCATCAGACAGAGTTCACCTTACCTCGACCTCATTTCATGGATCAGTGACCAAGGTTAAGTATTCATGGTCAAGTCCATATATCAGATATCGTAAGTAATAGGTCAACTGTATTTAGAGTATGGAATGATTGTAATGTGTACATGTCTGACTGGCAGGTTTTTCTGACTTTGACCTCAATTTCAAGGTTCATTGGTTAATGTTAAGTGTTTGTGGATTGGTCTTTCTCAGATACTTTTAAGCAATGGTGCCACTATATTTGGTGTATAGAATAATTGCATGCGTCCGTCTGGCAGGGTTCATTTGACCTTGACCTCATTTTTATTGTCTATGGTTTATGTTCAGTTTTCTTGATTAGGGATGCTATAAAGTCATAGGTTAACTTTATTTGGTATATGGTGTGATTATGAGGTGAACATGTCTGTCTGGTAGTGTTCATCTAACTTTAACCTTGACCTCATTTACATAGATCATTGATAATGTAAAGTTTATGTGATACTTAAAACCTATATACTAGTATTATAGACTAAAGATAGGCAGGCAAGACATTTCAGCGTGTGTACTATTGTTGATTTCAATACTCTTCGTTAATTGGTCAAGTTTTCAAACTGTTTAGGTTAAAGGTGTCACTGATGAATCTTGTGTCGACGAAACACACATGTTGCGTGCTAAATTATAAGCCCAATAATTGGATGAGTAACCGCTGGTGGATGTTTTGTCACAGAGGCATCATAAGCCAAGTTGTCAGCACTCCTGTTGATAGGTGTGGTCATTTTCTGTAATTTATTTTTCAAGAAATGTAAATTATTTTGAAAGACTAAGATTTTTCTATACCAGATTTTGCACAAATTGTTATATCCACACTATAGGAGTTGGGCTAAATTGCACTCACCTTGTCTGTCCACCCATTCGTCCAACAAATATTTTCATAAGATTTTACTGAGAAACTACTTAACATAATGATTTCATATTTGGTCAGTAGCTTGACAGTGATCAATTAGCTGTCACGTGTGAGCACTTTCTAATCTGTCAGATGCAAACTTCCTGTTTGCTGATACTTTGAATTTTTCAATATGTTAAATGAACGTAAATTTTATGCTTAGGCATGACTTCTAACTGGCTTTGGGTTTCATTTACTGAACTCCCAAGGTTTCGTAGTTTAGTTGATTTAGTTTTCCAACTGGTTTGGTTCGGGTTACACTGATGAGTCTTATTTAGACGAAACGTGCTTCTGTCATTCTAAATTATAAGCCTGGTCTCTTTGATGAGTTTTATTGACTGCAGTACCAAAAGTAGTTGATAGAATCTTAAAAAGTCAGAGAGATTGAAATAGAAGATCTAACTATATATTTGATTTTTAGGTATTAATGGCAAGAAAGCAGAATCAAATGTTTAAATCCATAGATATAGTAGTCAGAACATGCCTCTCTGAGCACCCTGTTGTGTCCTGAAATATCAGCACGGCATTGGACATTGTGGCCCGTGAAGTAGATGTTATTTGCTGACATCCTCCCAACAGACTAATTCCTTTTCATCATTATATATAAATTATCAACATCCTTCTTATAAGTCCAAATCAATTTGTTTACTTGTCTCACATAAAAAAAGCAAGAGTGCAGAAGCAATACAAATCTTTATGTAAGTTTCGTTGTTTTAATTAATGTTTATTTGGTTAAAATCGGTCAGCAAATGAGAAAGTTATGTCAAAAATTAAAAGAATATAATAGAAATATTATGAGAATGGCTATAACAGGTATCAAAATTTAAATTGTTACAGTACTTGCATCTGACGAGAGACCTAAATGATTGAGAAGAGGTGACATTTTGCCAAAAACGTATGCGTCGTCATATGTCAGAAATAACTTCAATATGAAACAATCATTCATTTTTCACAAAAAGATTAAGCTGTAGATTTTTAGAAGTATTGGAATACTCTGCTGTTCCATTGAGGACATTTGAGGCATTCATACTCTGTATCAATTAAAATGATAGAATTCCTTGTGCTCATCAAGTATTGTAAAATTTCTATATTTGTATCAATAAACGATTTTAATAGTAGATAATTAATATAAAAATCATTTTCTTTTCTCAATAAAATTGCATCAGTTTGATTCTTAAGTGTTATTTGAAAAGACTGTTTATTCTGATGTCTCATAAATCATGCTCAGTCAGCTTAGTATTATATGTGATAACGTTGATCAGTGATGTTGTATTGATTACAGGTTGCTTAACATAATGACTAGAACAAGAAAGAAGACTGTACCAAAAAACCTAATAATAAGGATAAACTAACTGTTTACAAAACTTTCGATTTTTCAAAATACTAAGGATTTTCTACCACAGGAATAGATTACATAGCTGTACTAAGTATTAAGCAAAACTTTTAGGAATTTTGGGTCCTCAATGCTCTTCAACTTCGTACTTTATTTGACCTTTTTAACTTTTTGGATTCGAGCGTCACTGATGAGTCTTTTTTAGACGAAATGCACGTCTGGTGTTCAAAATTTCAATCCTGCTATCTATGATGAGTTTATTGATAACGATAAGTAATTGGATAAATCATGAACAGCCAATGTCATCATTATCCCATATTGTAAAAGTGGTATAAAATGAACGGATATAAAACGTTTCTACCTAAAAAATGGAAAATTGTCACATGATAATTTCTTTACCTCTGTATTGTACTTTCATTCAAATATATTCCAACGAAATCAGGTAACCCGTTTTGAGAAAGTTACAAATTCTTTAAGTGCTAAAGAACCTTTTAAACAACTAGTTGAAGGGTCCGGTCATGTCGATCACCTATTTTAATGCTAAATGTCTTTCCATTTTCACTCCTTTTTCAATGCGCTGTCTAATTCTATTGCGAACAATCCACTTTACACTATCTACTTATCTAACGTATATTTTAGTTTGTTCTCGTCCTAAATATCTATCGATGAAGAAACTGCCACTATACGTTAAGCAAACAACAGTAAATGAAAATCTATATTATTACTCGAGTTTATAAACTTTAAGAAATAAGTATACTGACATTTTGGAACGAAACTGGTACCAAATTACTTTGATTTAAAAAGTAAAATCACAAAAATACCGAACTCCAAGGAAAATTCAAATGGCAAAATCAAAAGCTCAAACACATCAAACGAATGGAAAACAGCTGTCATATTCCTGACTTGTTACAGGCATTTCCTTGTGTAGAAAATGGTGGATTAAACCTGGTTTTGTAGCTAGCTAAACCTCTCACTTGTATGACAGTCGCATAAAGTTCCATTATATTGACAACAATGTGTGAACAAAACAAACAGGCATAATAGGTAAAAATTTCAAAAATACGGGTACAGCAGTCAACATCGTGTTATAATCTTAATCACTATGAAACAAACAAATATATCAAAAAAGAAAAACAAAATGACATATAGACAAAGCACATAAGCAAAAACGAAATACAATAATACAAAACATGACCACAGCACAACAACACATTGGCGGGATGCATAAATACCGAGCCACGCCAAAAGGATATTACCAAAAATAGACTAAACAGTAAAGGTTAACAATTTATAAAGACAAATAAAAGAACACTTTAACACGTAATTAAGAGCATAAACAACGTCAGTACTTATAATCTATTCTTCAAGACCATCATGTATTATTTGTGAAGTTGATACGGAATATTTATCA